ATAATAGTCACTTGTCCAAATACAAATGGATAGTCTTCACTTATGCCTTTTAGGATGGAAAATAACCTAAAATAAGGTGACATCAAGTGGCTGGTAAGAACACATACAGTGCCTTCAGCAACAAATGGGTTGATTGATCTATTAGATGTTTGCCTTCTGAGAAAGTACTGTATTTGAAATTTCATCAAGATCCACTCACTGCTCTGAACCAATAGAACAGACCTTTTTGACTGCAGCCATTATGAAATAATAGGGTAAACACAGGTGTTATCAATGATACTAATTAAGGTTCCATTCCATTTAGTGTAGCAGAGCCTTTCCAGTATGCCAACATGCACAACAGCAGCACCCTGACTCTGTTTGACCTGAATGGAACTGAACCTTAATTAGTATCATTGGTAAATTGGTGTACTAGGTGTACCCTACTATTTCCTGTCAAAATGGCTGCTGTTAAAGAAAAGGCATGCTGTATCTACTAACAACAAGTACTGAGGATTGATCTAAAGGAAACCTGCATTGTTTACGTCCACATTTGCTTCTACATTGCTTGGCACAGTATCTACACCGAATGGCATCAAAGTGCTGGCAGGAATGTGTATTTAGTCACTGAGCATGTATCTGTATGCTAGTGCATGTGCACAAGATTCAAAACAAATCACGGACCTGCTCACAAAAATACTGCATCACAGTGCAGCTAGTACCTAAATACTCTACGGTACCTTTAATGTTCACACGTAAATTAAAATGCTAATGTGAATCAGTAAAGAAGAGCATCAGAGAAGACAGGCGCAATAGACCTTTTTCACAGCAGACATTTTGACATGAAATTGTAGGGTAAATACAGGTTTTAAAATGAAATGATCATTAGTAAATGGCTGCTGTGAAAAAGGTCTATTAAAGAAAAGACATATTGTATCTACTAAGAACAAGTGTATCAAGTATTGAGGATGGACCTTAAGGTAACCTGCATTGTTTACATCTACATTTGCATTGCCTTTTGTTGGCAAATGTCTACATTACTTGGAGCTTTACCACACCAAATGTAGATCACTGGAAAGGCGTGAAACTGCTGGCAGGAAAGTGTATTGTGTCACTGCTGCTACTGCATGTGCACAAGATACAAAACAAATCAGGGACCCGCTCACAAAAAAAGTGCACCAGTGCAGCTAGTACTTAAATACTCTATGGTGCCCTTAATGTTCACACAATTAAAATGATAATATGAATAGATCAGTGAAGAAGAGCATAAAAAAATCAAAAGCAATAGACCTTTCTCACAGCAGCCATTTTGATACAGAATTAGTTGGGTAAACACAGGTGTTACCAATGGCACGAATTAAGGCTCCGTTCCATTCAAGTCAGGGTGCTGCTATTATGAATGCTGGCTCAGTGTAAAGGCTCTGTTACACTAACTACACTGTAACACGTTTTTGTCTGTACTTGCTGTTTTTGTTTTTTGCTTCCTTGTTTGTGCCCCTGACTGCAAATCAAGTTTCCCAATGGGGATGATAAAGATAACTGAACTGAACTGAATCTGTATTTACCCTACTATTTCATGTCAAAATGGCTGCTGTGAAAAAGGTATATTACACTCATGACCTGGTAGTCAAATTAGACCAAGCAGCATGGCTGCTAAGAAAGTATCAGGCAAGTAAAAGAAGTCAGAAAGACCAGTGAAATATAAGGAACCAGAAACATTTATGGGAACGAAAAAAATCTAATAAACCAAACAAAGAAGAAATGTGGAAAGGCAGCAGGACCTTTCCACATCCATATTTTAAATCCAGGGTGGAGACCTTCACTTTCAGATTAAGATTGCAAAACAGGGCAACCTCAGCAACTGAGCGACTTCAGACTCATATCCATACTAGGCAAAGTGCTTAACAGGATCATCTTGAACAGAATAAATGAATTAGTCAGCATTCAGACAGGAGCATCACAGAGCTGTACTGTGCTGGCCAAATTACAACTCTGTGTATGGTGATTGAGCAATGATCCATTTAACTGATTAATTTGACAGCATGGATAGAGAGACCCTTTGGACTATTCTTCAATATTGTGTTATATCAGTCGCGTGCAAAGTAGTCCATAGAGGGCAACTCACATATGCTGTTGAAGAGAGGACTGGGGTCAAGGATACCTGCTGTCCCCTTTTCTATTCCTGCAGACAACTGACAGCACACAAGAATTTGGACATAACTGTCCCATGCATATCAACAGATGTATGAGAAGACCAGTAGAGTTGCACCTAACTTTTAGGATATACTAGCCTCAACAGCCAATATGCAAAGACCAAGTGCAGAATTTCTGCACTGGAACAGCATTATAAATGTCAAGACACCACAATTGCATTAGGATATTTAGTATCAAGGCTAAGTTTAAATTACTCAATACATGTCTTGAAAGAATTCTTGGCTAATAATATTCCTGTACAAGACGCAAGGATAAAAAGACAATAGGGATAGGTTGGTCAAATCAGCAAGATGGCCTGGATAGTCTGGATGGTTCTTGTTAGCGACCTACGTCCCAGGACCAAAGGGACCTACTGTCATGTTAAGGACACTTCAGCAGCACTCATGTATGCTGACAGAGCAACTTGAACTGTGGCCTGTTGGTGTCCTCTGAGACTCTGACCTCATGTGTCTTGGTCTTGTCTAAAATAATTTTGTCTTCAATGTCATAAGTATGACACAGTTGTGATATATAGCACTGAGTGTGTTGGGAAGCTGCTTAAAGGACCAGTATGTAGGATTCAGTGGCATATAGTGGCGTAGTTTCAGATAGCAACTCCCTCGCTTCACCCTCCCCTTACAAGTGCAAAGGAGAAACTTTGATGGACGCAAAAAAATACAAAAATACACAAACAGACCTAGCTAGAGCCAGTGTTTGGTTTGTTTGTATTCGGCTACCGTAGAAACACACCAGTTGAACATGGCGGACTCCGTAGAAGCGGACCTGCTCCCTCTGTATATAAAAATGGCTCATTCTAAGGTAACGAAAACACAACTATTCTTTTTTTCAGGTGATTATAGGCTAATGAAAACTTAGTTATGCATATTACATTCCATAGCTGAGTGGTCCAGAGAAACATGTCTTAGTTACAGCATGATAGAAAACAGAGTGGTGCTGTTAGCTGAAGAGTTTCCTCCCACACACTCAAATAGGCGGCAAATTCAGCCATCAGGAGCTCATGTCTCACCATTACATGACCCAATCCAAGCAGGTTTTTTGACTTAATTTGGCTCACCTATCATATCTCAGTCTAGATAATAATTTATGAAGTTGCTGGTTGTATTTAAACATGAGAAGAGAATTTATTATGTCAGCTTACATAACATGGTCCGAGCTTGAATAATTACTGCACTGATAGCAGCCTTTAGCAGGCTAGCAAGATATGTTAATGTGGGACAATTATAATGTTGTTGTAGCGTATTTGCCAACAGCTGGGGGACAGGAGAGAGGTTCCAGGATGCTGCTGAGATGTCACGATCCTAGTTTCATGAAGCATCTGTGATTTAATGTGCATTGGTATGAATGCTGTCACACTTGTCTTATCTTTTCAGTGTTTGGTGGAGTCTTCATTTAGGGTGTGAGAAGGGATAACGGAAAGAGTTTCTGTGGGTTTGACTCTGGTGTATTAGATTGTCAGACACCACAGCCACTACTGCCGCAATGTTTAGTTGTTGCCACTGTTGTACACAGTGACAGTTGTAATCTCTGCCTCTCCCTTTGTGACTCACTTCATTTCTCACTAAAATGATTACCAAAGCTGTCTTTTCATTTTTCTACTTCACTCCCTCTCTCTTTCTCTGTGTGTGCTTGGTAATCAGTCAGCTTAGCTCTTCATCTCAGTAAACACCATTAGCCCGGAAGGCCAAGCCAGCCAATCACGGCCCAGCAGAGCCGGCTGGGTAGCCAATAGCAGCGAGGAACACTGAGTCCCTCGTGACACGCTGACCTGCTGCATGTCGGTGAGCGTTGCTATGGAAACCCTACTGTACAGAGAGGCTCTGAGGAAAGGCAGTAGAGCGAGGGAGGAAAGAGAGGTGGGAGGAGAGAGGAGAGGGGAATGTTGGCAAACATAGGAGAAGAACGAAAAAGCCAAACAGCAATGATAAGATAGAGGAGGAGTGTTTCCTAGAAATGTGGCATCAGGTGTAGTTGGAGGGGGGACTGGCAGTCAGTTTAGACCTGACTGTGGGGAATCTAGCTGGCTCCAAAGTGCACTGCATGTTCCAAAAGTATGTAGGCAGCAGAGCATGTTTGAATGTTTGACTCCTTACTTTTATTGTTTTGGACATGATAGAAGATAGACTGTCAGCTTTAATCTGAGAGTGACCTGCGTTTGGCCATATCAGATGATTACTTAAAGAACTATGACTTTTCCATGGTAAAGTTTATTTCAGTGTGCCAAATTTGGACATCACATTCAACAATTTTGTCATTTTGATTTAACAATCAAATTGTGTTAATATTAGGGCAGTGTATTTGCAAGAATCTGGTGATACAATATGCATCACTATACAGGGGTTACGATTCAATACATAATATATTGCAATACTGTAAGTAAGGCGATATATCGCAATGTTTTTCAATCTAGTGTTAGGAAAACTGTGATAGTATAAAGAAAACAAACCACCATATGCATACAATCTGTGTTTGTTATGCAACCAGAACAGTGGGCATCTACATTGGTATTTATCACAGTCCCTGCAACATCCAATATATACTGCCCTCAGTTTACATTTATAGCACTGCTATCTGGCGGTTTGGGGTTCAAACATAAAAACAATACAGTGTCACAAAACAAATTATCGCGATATGATATTTTTCTATATTTTCTTACACCCCTACTTAATATATAGTCTGCATAATATGAGCCCACCTTTTTCCCTTATTCCTTATTTGCAAGAAGACTTTGGTCTGGAGTTACTGTACTTTTAATGCCAGTAGACAATGAAGATCCATTAAATCAACAAAACTACGTCTGACAAGTGAGTTTTATTTCTAGGTGGTACTAATTTTCTTTATTAAAGCCAAATTAAGCAAACAGTTTCTCAGGCATTTACTGTAATTCAAAGAAAAGGCAATACATTTCTGTTAAATTATGACAGAGTTCAGTGTAACTATAAAACTGTATTGATGACATGGCTGTCACAGCCCTTTAAGAACAAATGTGCAGCATGGGATGGCAGCAAAATACTTCACTACAGTAACTCTTAAATGACTGAACAACCAACATATAATTCACATAATTACACATTAGCAAATGACATTGCCAAATCAGTGTTACTACTATAAAATGAACAACTTCAAACTTTAAATTTGTCAGGTGGCCAAGAGCACAAATCTGAATGGATGCTAATGGTGCCCTTGTCCGCTGAATGTATAAATGTTAGGCAATAGTGTGTTAACTTTATGAGGTGATAGAATTAATCTTCCTAATAAATATAGCAACTAGAGTTGTTCTAATACCAATATCAGTGTCAGAAATTCCTCTAAAACTGCTTAAAATAAGGTATTGCGTATCGGTGAGGACACGTGTTTACCCCGATACCACGTAATGTATTAGCCCCGAGAAGGGACCCTGCTACGTCCCAGCAGTTTCCTGTTCGCAGTTTTTTCCCCTAAGGATAGTGAAGTTATGGCCCGCCCACCCTGACCTGACTCTGACAAAGGGTTTAACCTGAACCAAGCCATACAACAATGATAGCAATCATACAGGCTTAGTAGTATGATTACAATGATTGTTCAAGAAAAGAGAAAATTGAATGCACAGCTATTGCATTGGTACTCCGTATTGGCCAATATGCAAAGTTCAGGAATCTGAATCAGTATCAAGAAGGAGAAAATAGTATCAGAACATAGATCTCCATGCTATACAATGCTTCACTTCAACTTTTAGCTGTTCGAATTTGTTAGAACTGCACCATTAGCCCCTTGACATCTATATGGTTTGTCTTTTACCTCATCTTTGTGAATGCCTGACTTTTAAAGAACACAGAATGAAGATAACTGATACGGACAGTGTGAAAAGAGACTGAATTAACGTAGTTTAAGATTACCCAGGGAGGGAAATGTGCCATGTGAAAATCACTAGAAAGAGACATGTTTGAGTAAGTCAGCCATAGCGAGGTAAGCTTCGTCCTGGCAATGCATGAAACAGATCATCAATGCAGAAAATACATCCCCCCTTTGGACACTTATTTTGAGCTTGATCAGTTACTCTCTATGAAAAAAAAATGTTTGACATGCAAGGATGTCTCCTTATAGATTTATATGAAAGGACAAATGCATGCTGTTATAATAAGGACACTGTGTACTGTTAGAGCAAGATAAACATTCATTACTAGGCCAATCTCTGCTGCATCTACAGTATGTAGGTTCAAATACTTCATAGCTACAGTGTCTCTCCAACACGTCCCTCTCTGGGAGGTTTTCTTATCACCTTTTTTTTGCTGTCCATTTTTGTCTCCCTTTCTTTCTGTAATGATCTCACTCGTCCCCTGATTAGAGCCTATCTCTTATAGCAATCATGATAATCATCCAACCATCCAGCCAGCCATCTTTCTATTATCTGTTCATAATTTAACTGATCCATTCACCCATCAATCTGTACATCTGTCCGTCCATCTATCCCTCCCTCTGTCCGTCCACCCCATCTGTCTGGTTATCTATCAAGCTGACTTCTTCTCCTTTGTCCTGATTCAACCCCCAAAACCAGTCTGGTCTAAGGATTTCATCGGGCTGCTCGGGACTGTGTGTGTGTGTGTGTGTGTGTGTGTGTGTGTGTGTGTGTGTGTGTGTGTGTGTGTGTGTGGTCCTGCTAGTTGTAGAGTTATGTAACAAAGCTTTAACTGCATGTATGCTACTGTCAGCTCTGTTGCTCAACTCACGCCACCAGATTTTGTGTGTGTGTGTGTGTGTGTGTGTGTGTGTGTGTGTGTGTGTGTGTGTGCATTTTTGCACACACAATGTGTATGCTCGGGTGTGTGTATCTATTTTCAGCCGGAATCCATATGGTGTGTGACTGAACTGAGCCCTGGTCTAAGAGACTCATTGATTTCAATTTCAGGGCAAATCTGATGCTAATCCAAAGATATTCTATAAATTAAAGGTCTTTTGGAATATGTTTACATGTGCAAAGAGGCTTACATTTTATCTTGCGAATCATAAAGCATAAGTCACGGATATATTACATGCATCAAATTGATGAACAAAGATTCAGGGATATGTGTGTGTCACAGTCGTATTGCAGTTGCATCTTTCTGGTAATTTCCACCAGAAGATACTGTACTTATTCTAAACTGTACCTTTTTACCATGCTAGCGGCAGGGCTCTAGTGATGTTGGTCAGGTGGATTGTCAGGCAATCTACCAACTTGGTCCAAACTAAAATACCTCAACAGCTAGTGGTTAGATTGGTTCAAGCCTAATGACTTTTCCTATAGCGCCACCATCAGGTTCACACTTGTGGTTTTGAGTGAAATGTTAAGATGAATTGCCATATAATTTAGAACAGATATTCATGTTCCCCCAGAAGAATGAACTGTTTTAACTTTTATATAGCGCCACCATCAGGTCAAAATTTTAATTTACTTAATATTTTATGACCAATACCTGCAAAAGGAATGCCATTCCCAACAGCTTCAGCTGTACTACTTGTGTGTAGGTCTAATTACAATTAAACACGCTAAGACGGTTAACATGGTAAACATTATACCAGCTTAGCATCAACATGTCAGCATGCTGACTTTAGCAGGTAGCCACACAGAGCCACTAATGGCTGTAGACTTTTGTCTTGTCTAGATAAGGAATAACTAAAAACACAACTAATTACATCTCATTTGTAGTGAAAGAATATTTGAAAATTAGCCACCTACACTGCCGAAGAAGTGTGAATCTTTTGTTCTGTGGTGTATTTGGATTATTTACAAGAGTAATTAAACTGGCATGGTTCATATAAGTGGGAGAATCAAGGGTGAAAACATATTTCAGCGTGGATTTTATTTTTACAACATTGCAATCTGTTTTCTAAAACACTTTGTTTCCTTGGGACTTGGGAGCTGTTGTCCTCCTTTGTCCCTATAACCTTTTTTTCATCCCTTAAGAATGCATGGCCTGAATCGAAGGCCTCCAAACACAGTGTGTCCTCATGTAGTTGAAGTGAGGGCTGAAGGTTGTGAGGAAAGAGAAGATGAGGAGGGGAAAAAAAGAGAAAGGAAGAGTCAGATGTAGAAAATTAGAGTAGAGTTTGAGAATCCTTGTCAAAGCCTGACCTGATGCAAACCCTGCCTCTGTACGAGTGTGTGCGTGTGGCAAGGCAGAAGAAAGGTTGACCCGAGAAGACCTCTAGACAAACTCCTCCTATTGCACATCCATCACGTCTGTAACTGTCATTGACCTGTCAATCATTCTCCATTAATAAGTCATTTTCATACAGGACAGTTGTCACTCACTCTCAAATCCTCACACATCCTCACATACACACTCTCAAACCAACCCACAATGCATCTGCCCGTGTGTCTCTCCTCCCCCTCTTACCTCCATCTGAGTACGTCTCTGTTCCGTAACCGTCCTGCAGCCCGTTGTTCCACGTCCCTTCATACTTCCCGCTCGTCCCTGTGCTTTCCCGCAGGCCGTAGCGCCCCTTAAAGCCGTGCGTCCACTCGCCTTTGTACACCCAGCGGCCTTTATTCTCGACGCCCACGCCATGTCTCTTGCCCTGAGCCCAGGTGCCCTGGTAGGTGTTCCCACTGGGCCAAGTGTAGACGCCCAGCAGCTCGAAGCCATGGGCCCAGGACCCGCAGTACTCGCCCTGGCCCTTGGGTCCCGTGCAGATCCCGTGGCCGTGCGCCTTGCCCTCCTCCCACCCTCCGCAGTATGACCCCCCATCGTCAAAGTTGAACCTGCCGCCAGTGGACATGCATGAAACAGGTCTTGGCAATTCCCCTGAAGCCTCGACAAAAAGAAAAAGAAAAGAAAAAGAAAACGAAGGGAGGAAAAAGAAGGACAGGTTGGTGCTAGAACCAATCCATGGAGCTGAGTTTGGAGGTCGGTGAGGTCAGGGGTGAGGAGGAGGAGAGAGTGGGAGGGAGAGGGAGAGAACTCCCACACAAATCAAACAACGCCACCCCTCGTTTTCAGCTGGTTTGGAGAAGAGGAAGGAGAAACGAGGTGAACAAGAAGACTTGGCCCCTCACAGCGGTGTCAGGGGTCTCCCGGTGTGGTGGGGAAGGGTGACGCTGTTCACACCATCCTCTTGGTGAGATCTTTGTAGCATCGGCTAGCACTTTCCAGCTCCTCTGTGGCAGATGCGGGTGAGAGAGGAGGAGAGTGGGCCCAGAGCTGCCATTATCCTCTCTCAGCAGGAGTTTAAAGCATCAGACAGCTCCACCGGTCCTGCCATCGGCCTGCCTACACAGTCTACGACACGCACAACTCTTCCTCCTACCCCTCTCCTGCTTTCCGCTCAGTCGCCTCCTACCTGATGATGCCTCCACCTCTCTGGGGTTTAGAGCTGAGAAGCCTCCCCGGTGGCAGCCCTTCAAACCTCCAAGCCTCCAGCATAGAAGCCACCCTTAGGCTCCCTGATCAGCACCACGGCCCAAACTGGAGCTTTGACATGTTGTGTGATGGAGAAAAAAAATAAGAAAAAGACTCTCCTCCGCAGAAACAGTTTTTTCTTCGAGCCCGCTCCTGATGATCAGACAGAAAAAAGACCATTTAAAGTCAAACTCAAAATCTTTAGCTCACTTCAGGCTTCAACATCCTCTTCTCAGCCTTCACACACACACACTGTGCCTGGTCGCACAGCGAGGCGACACACACATGCATAGAGAGTGTGAGAGACAGAAAAATGGGGAAACACATAAGGTAATCTGCTTGGCTGCCTTCTTTTTTTGTCTGTCCTGTCTTGCTGGAGAACAGCAATGCAGTCTGCTGCCTTATGCAGGCAGGCACACACACACACACACTCTTTCTGACAGCAAGTGCGCACACACACAGACAACGAAAATAAACAACTGAATTGATTAATTACTCCTCCTCTATTCCCCCTCTCCCTCTCTCTCTCTGTCTGTCTGTAGGTCTTTAATCCACTGCGTCCATAAGTGGTTTATCCTCTGCGTGGGTTGCCTTCAGTTGCCTGCTTGATGAAATAACATCCATCTATATGATCCTGTTATGGTGTGCTGTGTCCTCTTCAGCATCTCCTGCTTGTCTCCATGTTTCCCTACGGAGCGCCGGCTGACGCACAGCCTGCCTTCCTGCCTGCTGTCTTGGTCTTACAATCTCCTCTCCTCCTCTCCTATGGCTGGATCTCAGTATCTCTCTCTCTCTCTCTCCTGATCTGTGTGTGTGTATGTCTCTCTCAGAAAATCTGCTCATTAGAGAGGACTGTTCCAATGCAGCCAACCAATCCCCCCCACCCCCCCCACCCTTGCTCAATAGCACGCTCCAGCTCTTAAAGAGACACACACATGCCACAAGCCTCCCTCACCTGTAGCTTTGTATCATGCACTCATCCTTTGTCTTTTCTTACAGCATCTTGTCTCAGTCTCAGTTGATTGGCTTGATCTAAGAGTCTAAAGATGACTGCAGTGGTAGCGATACGCATTTCCAGTCAGCAGACAGGTGAACCTTAAAGGAACAGCTCAACATTTTGCCAAATACGTCTATTTGGTTTCTTGTGGAGAGTTAGATGAGAAGATTGATACCACTCTGTTAACCTGACTGTGTCTGATGATTTGTTACACAGACCCATATGGGGAGTCGTCATTGGAAACTGCTGGAAAAGGGCAGACACTTTCAAAAAAATACTTGGCAGCTGACTGGATGAACCATTTGTCTATCACCGTCTATCATAGGTAAATTTCAACCAATCAGATCAATAAACCATATAACAAAGTCAAACTCTTACCACAGCCAGTCAAAGAGCGAAAACATCTTTTCCATCAAGTCGTCATTCTTCTTTCAATGAAGAAATACTCTCTGTTAGCAGCATCTATGCTAACCAGGCACCAGTACCTCTTCAAAAGATGCTGATTGGTCCGGTACCACATAGTTTGGCCAGAAACGCAAAGATTTAAGCCTGGCAAGATGCATTCTCATGAATCCAACTGCCTTGGAAGGTTAACTAGCTGTTTCCCGCTGTTTCAAGTCTTTATGCTAAGCTAAACTCATCGACACTCATCATCAATTATATGTAGTCATTTTATGATACTATCAATTTCTTCTGGTCACAGTCTATAACAGACAGTGCAACAACAGTTCTTTTGCCCTTGAGACCAAACAAATTCTGAAAAAAAATCTGTGATACTGCCTTGTAATGCATCCAAGACATCACATTTACTCCAAGCACAGTAATCGTAGTAGTGGTGTAAAGATTTTGAATTGATTAAAACCAAAGCACATCTGTTCTGTCAGCAGATGGATTACTAAAAAACACATGTGAAACATGTCATTGTAGACAGAGGCTGCGTAGCCATGCAGCTTTTTATGGTGAAAGCACTTAAAAATTACAGACATATTTACAGTGACAGTCTCCCTGTTAAACTGCATAGTCTACAAAGCTCATTGTCTTTATGAGAAAACTTTTTTTTCAGTAGGAGTAAGTAGTTCCACTTAAAAACTACAAGAAACCAGGGCATTGTTTCTGTACAGAAAAGATTAAGGGCAAACAGTGTGTCATATTTGCTACTGACTGCATGTGCAAAATTCTGCAGCACTTTTCCATCTGTTAATCCCAATTTTCCAGATGACAACTCCATATAGTCTGAGAGATTAATCCCTGTGAATAAAAAGCTTTCTATAATCAGATATTTTTACTTGTCATATTGCAAATACATTTATTCAATCCGAGATAAAATTAAATAATGTGAGATTATACAGGTGACGGTTCCCCAATGGATATTTAATGCTAAAGATATTTTCAGAGAAGAAAGAGGGATGTTTGTTAATGACGGTCTATATGCAGTGCTTACTCTCTGAGAAAGAAACAGCACACAGACCTCCTATTGATTAGCTGATATGGACACTAACAGAAATATGATGCTTCAGGGAAACCCACACGTCAGTGTAAAATGGATTTTATTTACTTACAGCACATGGTTTTGAGGGTAAGAAATCAGTTTAAGTGGGTCTTTAAAATGATTGACCGATTGCACCATTGACTGATTCCGATTTTTAATTTTAATCTATAATGGTCAGCCAGTGCACGGTCTATTATTGGTGCCCATTCAGGGGCGTTGCCTTCACAGTTGAGGGTTGAAGGGCAAATCATCACATCAGGCAGAAAACGGCTGCTGCACTGCTCACTACTGAAACTCTGTACACGTCACAAACCACAAGTCTAAGTGTTCAACCAACACTGGGGTTTACTTGAATTTAAAACACAATATGTAGTTTCAGCTGTGATTAGATTGCACTACCGCTGCAATGCAACGCTGAAGCTTTTTTCTTTTCAATTGATAGTCATTTTGAGGGTTGCACTGCGTTTCAGCTGCAGATGTCTGCACAAAGGGGCACACTATGGATGTATTAAGAAAAGTACATACCATGTTCCCAGATGATGCCCCAGTAGTTCTAATGTAAGCTGCTAACTGGGTGGACATGTCGGAAAGGTTTTCACATTTTGAGCCAATAGAGCATGTGCAATAGAGTCCTTCCTGCTGGCTGCCTACCCACATGAATGGCACAAAAATAATTTACTAACTTAACTTACTTTATTGGACCTTTGGATTACATTTTGATGATAAACTATTTATATCAGAGGGTTTGCAGCGCTCACTTTTGAGCAAGACTGTGTATGGCACCACAGGGCATCACATGACCTGCAATCAATACCAACTGTGGCCACTAAGGCAAAATCACTATAGCAAGGATTTAGACTGAAAACAGTCACATGTCACATATGTCTGCATGGTCTGCATCTTCACAACTACAACGATTGGTCAAATTTGCGGTAATGTGCGGTGATAGGACAAAATGGCAAGGTCGTGCAGAATTCCCGGGAACTGTCGCGATTGCAGCATTGCAACTTCCTGGAGGTACCGATTGAAGCAGAGGGGGCTGTGTGTTGTTTAAGGTAGGTGTGAGACAATGAACAGATTAATGCTTTTCAAGGCTCATCAGATGCCAAACACAACGGTTTGTGACAGTCACAGACAGACAGGATTTTACAACTCTTATGTTTCATCGTAAAGGTTGCGAGGTAAACATAGAAATACGTTCATGTAATATGTCCATGTTATAAGGTAATCCTCCAGGAATATATGCTTGCATGTATTGTGTTGCAGCAAAAGTTGACTGGTTCAACTTTTTTGTATAGTTGGTGTTGGCGCCCCCGCTGTGAAGACGGATCGGCTCTATTCAGATGAGTGAGAGGGCTGTACTTTTCTCACAGGGCTAAAGTTGGTTTGCATGAGGAATTACAGCCCACTGGGAGCTGCGCAGGCGGTGGAGACAACGGTGTGACTTTTATTTCATCTTTTCTTTTTCAGTTTTAAGTGTTGGCAGAGACAGTAGCAGTACCTTTTTTATTTGGATTCAGCCATGACTAACCATGAGAAATATGTATTTATTTGATTGAGTTTTTTCTTTTGTTTACTTGCCGGCATTGTGTTAGTTGGGTTTTTGAGCAGCACTTTTCTGGTCTGAGTCATCCATAGTGGATTTATTCTAAGTGCCTTGCTCAAGGACATCTCAGTTGAGGGAGGAGGAGTGCATCACTTGACCGATCCTTATATCTCAGTGTGGGCAGAACAGAAACACCAGGTGATACAAATGTTACTAAAGTTATTTCAAACATAGTTTGTCATTTCTGCAGCTGGAGGGCTCTCACATCAAAACTATAAAAGATGTAGTTTGATGACGTTATGAATTAGTGTGGGATCATGGGAGTTGGTGTCATCATTGTTAAACAATCACCATGGCTGAAGAAAATCTGTCTGACATGACTCAGGCAGAAATAATGTTCACGGTTGAGGTAATGTATTAAAGTTTTATTTACGTTGCCGACTTCCTTCCTTGCTCTCTGACGTCCTCTCATCCTTCCTTCTCAGAACACAAAGTCCCTTCCTCTCTCTTCACACTATCCTCCTTTTCCTGTTCAGCTCCTCCCTACAGCTGTCCTGTTGCTGTTGTTGTCCTTGTCCTTCTGTCTGCCAGTGTCTGGGAGAGCTAAGCCAATTCCAACCCAGATTACAGTAATAAAATCACTGTGAGGCTAGGGGATTAAAGCTTAGGCCTCTAAACACACTGGTAGTAGAGAAAGAGAGAGAGACAGGGAAGGAAGTGGAGGAAGAAGACGGTGAGCAGGTGAATGAGAAGGAGGGCGGGGGGAGACATGGTTAGTGTGATTCCCTGACCACGACAAAGGGATTAGGATTTAGAGAAGTTAGTAACGCAAGTATCTGCGCTCACGAATCCATGACAACATCTGAATTTCAATTAGAGCTAAGAAGACACTGACACAATCGTGGATAATGGTTACTGTGTAATTACTTTGCAGATCAGTGAAATTATATGTATGAGACGACGTATAGGTCTCAATTCACAGTTTTAACTCGGATAAAAAAGTTAAGGTTGTCAAATAAAACATATATATATAGCATTTGAGACAGCTATATAGTCAGCAGCTGTAAGTCATTTCAGTGAAGTTATGTTTCCATTAAATCAGTGATTCAGAATATATTTGAGAGGATGTAACAAGATTACATAACTAATCTAGCAGCAGTAACTTTACTAGCATTTCAGTGGCGTGTCCCATCTAAAATAGTAGTTGTTTCTCTCGTTTTTTGTCTCCTAATCCATGTGTATGGTGGCGTTCTTGACTGCGGTTGACCAGCAATATCCCTGCTCTGTTTAGTTTATATTTTGGGTAATGAAACATGGTGCCAATATTGCACCGGTTCTTGTACGACTGGTATCTACCAGACAGTTTTGGTACCAGAGCTCTTATATATATTATAATATTTACCCTCTGGCGAGGATGTTAAACGCAACAAAGGCATCACCGCACTTGCCATCACTAGATAACTCGATAGATGGCTCTGGCAGTAGGTGGCTTACTGCTAGCTAGTAGCTACCTTAAACACAGTTAAAATGCAGAGCTAAATGGTCTATAGTAATTAACTTATGATAGACATGATGTTTTACTAATATGTGTAAAAATCATGGCATGGTGAATTATGGCCTATATGACACCTCATACACCCAGAGCAGAAAAGTGTTCTAACGAGTGCCTCTGGATTAGATCAGAAAATTAAGTTAAAGAAAATGTATAGCAACTGCTCAATCTGAGATCAAATTGTCTTTTTCTCTTCTCTGTCAGGCAGCCTTACCCAGCACCTTACTGTGTTTGCTCTCCATCTGGTCTGTCTGTACAGCATGTGACATCTCCAAGCAATCAATAAGGGCACTCCTGTGGATGGTCAGTATTTACCTAAGTGTGCTTGTAATCGTGTACTTTAGGATAAAAAACACTGAAGAATAATGAAAGATCGGCTTGCAAGTCTTAGTAACATATAGTATATTGTGGTTTCCATCCAATGGTCAAAAAGGGAACTTTATGTTGGGTCACCAGACTTTATTAATACCAAGTCTGATGGTATGTTCTTTCATAAAATGTTATATATATACATATATATATATATAAAGTTAAGAAAAGCTAGAAATATCAACCCCTGCCTAAATCTGACATACCATATTCTACAAGTTTCTCTCTCTCACACACACATACACACACACACACATGCACACACACACACAAACTCACGACAGACGTATCTCTGACGATTACACGCTGCGTGCCCCCACGTCAGCAGTGCACCCAAAAAAATCTCTTTAGTTATTTATAAAATCTTTTTTTGTCCCGGAGTTAAAATAAAAAAGGGGGTCGCAGGAAAAAGGGAGAAGAGGGGCTGAGAAGGAGGGAGAAGTGAACGAGAGGGAGGCAGCCTCATTCTCATCCATCTCTCCTTCTCCTCTATTATTCATCAGCCTCTTCTCATCCCTCGTTCAGCATGCTGATGGAGGATAAAATAGGTCACCGAGGGATAGGCTGGTGCTCGCACAGTGACTGATGTCTTCCCTCACACATCGTGCACTCATCCCCTCCTCCTTCCCTGCATCCCTCGCTCCTCCTCCTCTTCCTCTCCGTTTTCTTCCCAGCCGTCGTTGTCTTGTCATCCCATCTTTCTCACCTGCTCTCCCTCTCTACCTTCTCCTCTCTCCGACACCCCGGCCCTCCATCCCCTCACATCCCTCTAATGTTTTGATGCTTCCTGAATACTCATCGTTCATCATCATCATCAGCTCACCTTCCTCATATCCCTTTGCTTGTTGTAGAGGAGTAAAACTCAGACAAAGGAAATGTGTTGCTGCGAGCTATCTGCAGGGGGCACACCAAACCATCACATCTATGAAGGAGTTGTGTTTCTATAGGGAGAACGAAGGGCCCAGTAATCAGAAGTGATGGGGACAGAGGCAACCAGTGTAAAGCAGGAAAGTTAAGAAATACCACATTTTTATTTTAACCAGTACTTTTGTTTACTTTCTGCAGTCTGCTATTTTTGTGGGCCTTTATTCACAACATATTTTAAGTGGAAAAGTTTCATAACTCCCACATACATGTTAATTTGTTCAATTTTCAAGCACTACATTGTTGGTTTTCCTTGCACATTCAATCAATATTTGCAAGTTGTTAAAAGGTAGGTCAGGGGTCAGCAACCTCTTCTATCAAAGAGCCAACAAATCAGTTTGGAGCCACAGAATTTATTTGAGCCTTATAATGCTAATTTACCACCGCAGATCAAGTAAACAATTTTTTAAAAGGTTTACTTTATTTAGAGCTCCCCGTTCCCCGCTATATACTGCCCACCTGTGGCACTCCTACAGAAAAAGCAACATGCAGACTGTGAAGTGATGTTGCCATGAAACTGCTTCTTAAACTTCCATCATTCCCCATCATGCTGCAGTACCAGCCAAATGCTTGTTAATGTCGGTGTGCCTACCTGCTCTGCTGTGATACAGAATCTTATGTACAAATATACTGTTTGTGCAGGCTGTCTGCATTTTTATGGCCAATCCTGAGTCGAACTCATTCAGGTTTTCATCCAAACTGTAGCCACTGGCTCCAGTTCGTATGTGGGTGCAATTTATTGATACCTGCCTTTATCTTATGAAGTTGCATGTGTATTGCTATGTATTTACAGTGTTTTGTTGTTGTATTTTTGTATATTTTGTCTGTTTTTATTGCTATGGATCTTTTTCTTGTGTCCTTAATGTTGTCTTTATTATTGTTATTTTTATAAGCCAGTTGGTTGTCAAAGCAAACTAATCTGTCCACGCAGTAATAAATTCTCTATTTTCCTCCCAGACTTTTTCTTCTTGTTTATTTTGAATCCATAGCTAGCCTAGCTTGGGAAAAGGCGGAAAGTCAGGACGTAACGTATGATGCACATTTTAGCAAATTAAATGTTAAAAGATTTATTTTATTTGGTGTGTAATTATTATTATTATGATTATTATTATTAATTTTGTTTCATATATTTTGTGTCAAAGCCACAGGGAGTGAGGAAAAGCTGCATTTTTGAAGACTTTTGATTTGATTACCACTACAAAAATAATCAGTTTCTGTAAAGGTATTTACCATCAAAAAAAGGTAAATCTTTATTTACTTATGCTTACTGGATCACGTAGGACTTTCATAATACAATGTTTCATTACAGTTGATATCAGTAATTATTGATGATTTTTAATGAGATCTTTTTATTAAAGACTAGATGGGAAAAAGGTTGAATTTAACTACTTTATTTCAAATCTAACCACTTTGTTTATCAAAGCACACAGGTAGTAAGGTTCATGTTTTGTCATATGGTGTTGTTACTGAGTACCTCTCCATCGTGGACTGCCTGTGGAGACCCCAAAGGGCAGTTATGGTGATTCACTCATAGCACGCTCAATTCTCAACAGATATGATGATGATGGGTGTATTTGATTCGTTATGTTCTTTCGGTTTGCATTTCATGCATTGATTTGGGTCCACTTGACGGGAGTGGTCTCTTCCAAGATGACAATGCCCCCATTCATAGGGCACAATGGAGTCACTGGATGGTTTGATTAGTATGACAATTATGCGGATCACACGCTATGGCCTTTGCATTCACCGGATTTCAACCCAATCAAACACCTATGGGATATTTTAGACTGACGTATTAAACAGCTCCCTACACCACCATCGTCAAAACACAAAATGAGAGAATATCTTTTGGAATAATGGTGGTCATCCCTCCAGTAGAGGTCCGGAGAGTTGTACAAAGACACTGGTGTTTGTTTCTAACACTTATGTTGGTTTTTCCTTTAATTTGTCACCCATCTGTAAATCACTATTATTTTATTGCCCAGCCTAGGATGACATAGATTGTCTATATTCTATACTATATGCTAATGCTTCACTGTTATTGACAGTTAATTAGGGACCGAGCCAGCGACCGCTGGAGGTCCCTATTGTATTTGCTATGTTTCTTATTATTATTTTTAGCCCCCTTTGACTGCATTTTTGCCCCCCTGAACATATACGAAAAGTCAATTTTATTTGGCAAAGTTGTCAGGCCTGGTAAAAATGGGGATATTTTATGCGTTGCTTTCAGGTTGGCCACTAGGTGGCGCTACTATCATAAAAAGTGTGTTTAGGCTAATAACTTCTGCATAGTTTGTCACACATTCAAAAACCTTATATCCACAAGTTCAGTGAACGGAGCTGAATCTCCCCATATAGGCCATGCCCACTGTCACCTATAACTTTTCCTTCGCTAGAGCGCGAAATGTCCATAAACTACTTTTTCGTGTTTCTCCTACGCGCTTTGTCCGATTCGCACAGAATCTTTCATGTAAGATCTGGGGACCATCCTAATAAAAAAGTATTTTAAAGAATTTTGATATTTCAAAAAACAAGCACATTATAAAATTAGGACTTCTAGGACCTGTTGATTTTTCGTCAAAAAAAAGGAAGTGGACCATTTCTCCACATTGCTATGTCCAATTGATGCCAAACTTGGGTCGATAGTTCCCCATGTCTTCCTTAGGCATTGTGCACAATTTCAGGCCATCGCCACAAGGTGGCGCTCTTCAAAATGAAGAAGTTTATGCAACGGCACGTGTGATTAAAAAGAAACTTGGTACGATGCTTGCCCATGGCTCCCTAAGGCTCCCTAAAAAATGTGTCAAGGTGGCGCTCTGGTGGCAAGATACATCACTATGCAGAGACCGTAAGAGTTATGAATATGAAATTCACAGGACACGTGTAGAGTGGTGCCTGTAGCTCACATACCAAAAATAGTGTTTGTCATGTTTGTAGCGCCCCCTACAGGATTTTAAAAAAGCAGCCCCGGCGCCACGTTTCACTGATATGTATGAAACTCGGAAGGCACGTGTAACATGCCGATACGTACAAAAAAGCCTCTTGGACCCATACCCCAAACCCCACGGGAAGTCGGCAATTTTGATTTTCATTTTTCACCTTCGGTCAGTGTCTGTCAGTACAGTCAATAAATGGTGCTAATTAAAAGTTGTGCTATTTGTGCACGTACATTAAAGGGCGTGTCCGTGGCGTGCCGTCAAAGTTGGCCATGTTGAATTTCGCAGCCCTTTTCGGCCATTTTTCGCCTTGTATTTGAACTCCTCCTCCCAGGGAATTCATCAATCTACTTCAAAATTGGTCAGTAAAGATAGAAAATGTTGTTGATTAAAAGTTGTCCTATTTGTGCATGTACGTTAAAGGGAGTGTCCGTGGCGTGGCAATTGTCATTTTCTGTGATTTTTCATGTTGTATTTGAACGAACTCCTCCTAGGGAATTCATCTGCTCTGCTTCAAAATTGGTCATTACAGTCAAAGTATGTTGCCGATGAAAAGTTGTGCTATTTATGCACATATATTAAAGGTTGTGTCCGTGGCGTGCTGTCAAATTTGGCCAGGTTGAATCGTATGTCAAGCAGTGATGTCATTTCCGCCATTTCGCAGTGATTTTCAACGTGTTTTTGCGTTGTATTTGAACGAACTCCTCCTAGGGAATTTATCGGATCTACTTCAAAATTGGTCAGTACAGTCAAAAAATGGTGCTAATTAAAAGTTGTGCTATTAGTGACTGTACTTCGACCCGCATGCCGGTGACGACGTGTCAAATTCTGCCAATTGGCCATTAAACAGATAGTACTCCACTAAACTTCACATATTCTATGACAGTTCGACCCTGAACAAGTCCTCACAACTTCAGAGTACATGGTCCAATCTCAATGAAACTTGACATGTTCAATAACAGTCCGGCCCTGAACACGTCTACATGACAATATTCAGATATAGTGAAAGCGCTACCTACTGGCAACAGGAAGTAAGTGCTGCGTGGCTATTTTGAGCTGATTTATGTGAAATTTTCATGTTGTGGTCCGCACGTGTTACAACGGCACGTGACGCGGCCGCAGAACGCCCCGAGTTGCGTGGAGTGCGAGGTCCCGCTCCACGCTGCTTGCAGCTTTAATTAATTATTAATATTAGTGGGCATTATTGTTGGTGGCATTGGTAATTATGTTTGAGGCCTCAAATAAATAGACCCATTAGTAGCGTGGGTGTTTTTGCGTGTATCATAGAGAGCTTTAAGTGATATTCGGTGTCTCTGGCCGGAGTCAGGCTGCAGTTTTTGGCCGGTGTAGGGCTCTAGCCGTTACCATTGTCCTCAAAACCCCATGGACAAACCCCATCTAGAAACACACAAGCACATGGTACAGTAGGGCTATTGGATTTCTTACATCAGTGTTGAAAATCAGATTTTATAAATAAAATTTGAAGAAAAAGCACATTGTGGTTTATTCATCAATTTATTTTTTGCTTTTACTTGTTAATTACTTCCGTTACTCTGATACATAATCGTTCGTTTGCATTTTCCATGTCCTCATGCAGCAGGAAACAATTTTTGGATGCAATAGATACTAATGTGTTTAACTATTGGGCCATAAAGCCGAACTTATCAATATTATCATAATACCAATGCATCAAATGACTGTATGTGGAAGGTGTCACCTGTAGTAACAAACCCAAAGCTCTACAGAATGTTTCAGTGTCTTTCAGCTCACTGTTGACAAAAAACGAGTTCAAATAAATGCTAATGTAGCTGCTAATAGTATGACACTGTTGTGTTTACAGCTTGTTCTGCTCCGCTGGGAAAAGAAAAAGCTAATTTTAATGTAATTCTGGTGCTTCTGGTGGTTTTCTACACAGCTCTCTGTTAGTAAAACACCTTCTGTGAGATCACTGATCCTCCGCACAAAACCACATGCAATTTAATTTCAATGCTCACCTTTGTGCTTTACTTTGTCTGACCACACTGGTCTCAAAATTGACAGCAGCAATATAGGGAAGTCCATAAATTCAAACTTCATTTGATCAGTTGGAAGAAACTAAGTTTTTTTTGTTTTCTGTTTTAAAATTGAATGATGTTCAACTTGCATTTCTGAATTATTTTCAGTACAGTTCAAATGACATGTTTTATAAAAGGTAATTACAAAAAATATTTTACAAACACACAAACAGCACACTCACAGTCACTCAGACACTCTGGCGTATCCCACTACTGGTCTTCATAGAAGACTTTAGACATCGCAAGGGCGACCTTGGCGACCTTTTTGTCCTTGGCGTCGGGGCCCATGTTGGCACGTGCCAGTCCTATCCAGTACTGCTCTGTACGGGTCTGGTAATCCGTCACTGTCTCTCCCTCCTGCACTGCGGGGTGCTCTTCTTCATCTGGAAAACGCAGTCAGGTAGAGAGGTTAACGTTGCTCGTAACATTTATACATATAATCACGGTGAAATTTAGTGAGAACAGCTTCTAGCTGGTTTCCTGCCAAATCAAACATCACCTTTGAGGGGTCGAACAAGCATATGTGATAGATTCAAGTAAACAGGAGTGGCTGAGGTTCAGGTTAGTTCTTATGTTATGTCAAAGGAGAATTCCAGCTATTTTAGACATAACGGTTACAAACTGTGGGGAGAGAGGTATGTAGCACCACATTAGGTAATAATACAAGATTTCATTTTGGAGATGGTTTCAAATGTGTTTGGGAGGTTGGTGATAAGTGTAGTGTAGACAGTGAAGAGGCAGAACAATCCCTTGCCTTCCTCATCCTCGCTTTCCTTTTCAGACTCATCCTCCTCTTCCTCTCCTTCTGCTCCTTTCGCCTCCTCCTCCTCCTCCTCCTCTTCATCATCATCCTCTGACTCAGACTCTTCCAGCCACTCCTGTGTCTCTGTGGAGAAAGAATCATAAATCCAAATGAAACCTCACACCCTCTCCTATCTTATAACCCTCCAACTGCTCTCCTGCGTCACAAGATTTTCAGACAAGACGCATCAGCACACTGGCTGCTTTAGGACTCCCTGCTGAGCTGACGCTGGATACATTTCATTTATTTTTTCCCTACACGTTCTTGACATTGTTTACTCACTCGGGTCCATTTCAACCAGAACCTCCCACTGGTCCATCTTGTGGAGGTCCAGGCAGTAGAAGTCGTTCAGGGTGAACTGGCGGTCGCCAACCTCAAACATCCCCCCGTATAGGAAGAGCTTGCCCTGACGCACCGTTGCCATGGCACTGGACCTCTGGCATGGCTCCACCAGAGGGGCCGAGGCTGAACCTGTGGAAATTAAAAACGTGATAGCTGTCCAGCCTATGTATATTTTTTCTGACTTTTTTACATTTTAAATTAGTTTTGTGTGTGTGTGTGTGTGTGTGTGTGTGTGTGTGTGTGTGTGTGTGTGTATGTGTTCTTGCCATCGTCCTCCTCCTCTTCCTCTTCCTCTTCCTCCTCCTCATCCTCCTGAGCTCCAGGGATCACTTCCTTGATGGTCATCACTGTGCCATCCTCCGTCACAATCTCCTTGATGACCTCAGTGGGTGCTTGAGGTGCCACCTGCCCCTCCTCCTCCTCGTTCTCTGCTCCCTCCCCCTCTGCCCCACCCTTCTTCCCCCTCCGTCGTTTCTTCTTCTCTGACTTGTTTCCCTTGACAGACAGAAACAAAACCATAAAATATTGCAGTCAGCGGTCGAAGCCTTAAGCATTACTTCATTCTTGGTCACGTGCCAGAGGTTCTAGTCAGGACTTCGTTTAAAGCCCCCCTCCACTCTTTAATCAGTGTCTCTTCTTGTCCCTACAGAACTTTGACACTAGAAGGATGTTTTCACATTCATCTGCTGAAAGTGGAAAGTTTCTCTGTGCTCATTGAAAATCAGATTTTAAGGGGCGGGGCCTACCAGCAGGATTTGTGACATCACAAATAGTTATAAAGTCAGTCCTGGTCCAGTATCAACTTGTACAGTGTGATGTAGAAACTTGAAGCCACCAGTGCACATACCGAATTCCATTGGAGGTCAACAAAAACACAGGGGGTGTAAAGGTGCTCTATAAATTACCACAGAGCTTACAAATTAGCATTCATTCCATAAAACTACTTGGGGGGAATAGCTATAAAAGGAGTAAGTGTAAGTTTTCCTTCAAAGCTAGAAAGCTCGGGTTTTAGATTTAGACCAACAAGGAGATAAACCAGAAAAAAACTATACACAGTAACGAGGATTAGGGCTGCCCCCAATAGACTAAGAGACTAAGTCGACCCACTTTTCATCAGTCGGATAATCGTAGAAAAAAACTCCAACAACATCAAACTCCGTTCAGGAGGAGTATCCAGGGATTGTTGTAACACAGACCTTTTCTCTTTCTAGCTGCCATTGGCTATGCAGCTGACTCTACCTGGACTGGGAGCTCGAAAGACAGGGAGAGGTTTGTTTGCACAACTAGCAATGGAAGAGGTGAGAGAATGGAGTGAGTTTATTTGTAAGTAACTGTTAACATTATCCATCATATCAATACATTTGCCAGTATTTGTTTTTGTGAAGTTGGAAGTCATTTATTCCGTGTTTTGAACAGTGCGACTTAGGCAATGTTACTGTGTTAAAATAAATACTATATGTTCAGTCTCCTTGCTGGTTGTTTTGACACATTCAGAATCATTACTCTGTTTGCCGTTAGCATTTAACAGGCAGCTGCTATAATATGTATACCTGTACATATGTATTTAAAAATTCCATTAATATCATAAACGTGCAACCACTAGTTGACTAGGCATCTTTTAGTCGGGGACAGCTGTAATGAGGATGCACAAAGCAAAGGCATTGATATGATTTTTGATGAAATGATCAAGAGATGGAGTGCGATTTGTTAAGCATCACTTGTTTTCACTGAACAGCGCAGTCTGAAGCAGGTTCAGCCTTGCTTACCCTGAGCAGGCCAGGGAACCAGCGGTTCTTCACTGTATCGTACAAATAGAGGTCATTGTAGAAGTCGCCCTCCAGAGACTCCTCCTCCTCCTCATCACAAACCCCACCAAACAGCACCGCACGCCCCGCTGGGCCCACCGCCAAGGAGAACCCAGAGCGTGGAGGGGGCTTGCTACCAGAGGGGCTCACCCTGGACCACGACCACTTCTCTGGAGGACAGAATCAGGCGAGTCACAAAAAATACCAACAGGACATGACGTGGTTGATTGCTATTCATGTTTATCATTTGCGCTGTCTTAAATTGTTTTTGTACCTTGGCCGTCTTTACCCTCTCGCTTTAGAAGAAACATGTCAGAGTGGATGGTCCCCTTGTCGACATCCTTCTTCACTCTCTAGATAAACACACACAATTATTAGGCAGACCACATCACAAAACATAATACATTATAAATATGGGAAAAGCACACCCACCACTTTAGAGTATCCCCCGTAGATGATGACTCCTGTGCCGTCGGGCGTGGGGGTCATCTGACAGGCGGAGCGTGGGGAAGGGGCGGTGCCTGACGGAGCAAGGCGTGACCAGGAGAAGGTGTCCAGGGAGAAAGAGTAGACATCATTGTAGTAGATAAAATCCCTGCAGGGGGAGGAGGGGGAAGCAGGAGAGGAGAGGAGGAGAGGAGAGGGCTGAAAAAATAAACCGAACACTTTACTGTTTACTGTTTACACATTATGGCCTAATGTTGATATAGCTATATGTACCAGCAAACAGTTCCACATTTACACATCGAGCAGTTATGGAGCAACCTTTTTTAGAGTCGTGATTCTGTCTACATGTCCAGTGTTACTACAATAGTCACTCTACTTTTCGCTTTATTTTTAGCTTCTGAGAAAAAGAAGCCGCTAAAGTCTCTTTAGTTAGATGTTCCACTGTGTTCACCAGCTAATCGCTAACTTCATCTGTCATTGTTTGTTTTGGGCAGGTAGCTAACTGCTGCAGCCAGAAACAAGGTTGATGAAAGTAGTGAACCTGAACCATAAACAAAACAATCAGCTGAAAGACACTAAAATGCTCTGCAGAGATGAGAAGTAATTTGACCCACTGTTAACATAAAAATATTGAGTAGTGCAGCTTTAAGTTTCAGATATATGTACAGTGTTATGGTTTCTTTTTCTTAATGTCAACAAATCCATAGAAGAGACCATGGTGTTGCAGTCTTTTTAATATTACCACTTGGAGTTGCACTTATCACTAATTCTATACTTGTACAGGCAGTACAAGTAGGTCCCCACGACTAAATTCAACTAAATTGATGTATTGTCCATACGATGATGAAACTTTGCTGATTTCTATGGGGTTAATTGATTTCTTGCAGCATTAAAGCTTTTTAAAACTTTTTGTCATATTTGCTGAAACTTTCACTGTATCCAGACAGTATTACCATGAGTTGAGTTTAGTTTATTAGGATCCCCATTAGCTACAGCATTGCAACAGGTATTCTTCATGAGGCAGATAATCTGTGAAAACAGTCAGGTTCAACCAACTATCTTAAAAAGCAGAAAAACTTTCACCCATAAAGTAATAATGTAAACAAACTTGTTACCTGCCCGCCGTCCACACCATTACAGACACATTCTCCTTGTTTATATTTCAGTAACCTTCTGCCTACCTGGTGCTCTCATGGAAACCTCCAAAGACCAGCAGCTGTTTCTTGCTGAGGACCATCCGGTGGCCACTGCGACCTGATGGACCACCAGGCGCCCTGGAAAAACACAAAACCTGAAATCATTTCTGATTGCAGATGTCTGTAAAATGATTCAAAATTAAGCAAAAATCACCATGCTGATTGGGCTTACATTTCAGGACAGGAGGAACTAGTTCAGAGTTCCTCATAAATTACATTTACATTTCTGGCCACCCTTAGATCCCATCATTACTTCCATTTATCCAGCCTTCTGTTCACCATTACATCTATTTTTATCACCCTGTGCACATACTTGATGTTCTCCCAGGTGTGTGTAGCCAGGTGCAGCACCCAAAGGTCCTTGTAGTGGTAGAACTGTTCCCCGTTTGGAGAGGCAAACTCTCCCCCAAACACCCAGAGCTGTCCCCCGCCCTGGGGAACTACCACTGCCTAAGGGGAAGGAACAGAGAGAGGGAGAAGTGAGACAGAGGGGAGGAACATATAGGAGTAGAGGAAGAGGGCTGCATGAACAGAGCGAGATAAGGAGGTTTGATGTTCTCAGATTTAATTGGTTTTCTTGCAACAGGCCATCAGCAGTGATGACATTGCTGATAAGTTTCTAAGTTTCCTCTGATCTGTACTACAGTAGTCTGCCCCCTTGTGGTTTAAATGAAGAATCACATAACTGATCAAAGACCTCCAAACAAACTGATGTTCCAATGAAACAAATGTAGCATTACCAGGCAACGTCTATCAAATATAGCTGTAAACCTACTGTGAACACCTGCTATTTGATTAATACTAGTCACATCCTTTTTTTTTTTACTTGGAAGTGGTACTGAATAAAATACTCTTACACACGCAGAGGGACAGAGGAGAACGTGCTGTTTGCTGGCAGCTGGATTGTCAAATGGTGCAAAAGAAAACCACTCGATGTTTCGATGAGAGCCGAAAATATTAACAGTGTGTGCAGCAAAAGAGGCTTAAGGATCCCATGAGCTTTACCTGGTGAGAGCAGCGTGGGGGAGGAGGGTTGGGGATCTCTGATTTAACCCAGCAGTTCTTCTTGATGTTGTAGAAATACAGATCGTTGTACAGGTACGTCTGCAAACAAAAGGCATGTGAATGAAGAATTAATTTAATAGAATTCATGCTCTACCGTACTAACTGAGAAAAGAAGAGCTCATGAGCTTCATATAGTTTGTACAGTGTGGACCATTGTGAAACAGTGGCGATACACAAAAATCAAAAATTAAGAACAAAGATAGATTTTAAAGAAGCTTCTACTACAGCAAAATCCTCCCCAAGTGTGCATCTAAAGTAGCAAGTTCTATAAATTCCTTTACAGAGAAGTATTTATTAGAGCAGTGGTTTTCAAACCAGGTCCTTGAGTGGGTTGTAGGGGGTCACATTTATTAGAAGTTGTAATAACATGAAATAGAGTTGACTGTTGTTATTGACTATAATTTATAGTGATACTAGTTTGATCACTGATTGACTGTAAACACTTAATTATCTTGAAAAAAATAAAAATAAAAAAAGACTCCTTAAGACAAAATCCTTTCAAACTGGGGGTCCATGGTCCAATGTACATTTATTGTGGGGGTCTTGGCTATGTTATTGTTTGCTACCTTCTTTCCATTGAAGAACTCTCCTCCAAACAGGATGAGTTCATCTTTCTCAGGATGGGCAGAGAGAGACGCACTCAACCTGGAAATCATAAACATGAAGATGGTAAACGTTATACCGGCCAAACATCTGCATTTTATCATAACAACACCATCTAACACCAATCTGCCCAGCAGCAACTGCAACTTCCTTTGGAAGCTAAACTAGTATGTAGTAGTCATTACATTTTCTATTATTACTTGGTTTGATATTCTCAGGTGGCGAGAAGATGCTCCATCAGCTCCACCGGGATCAGAACTGATTCTGTGTCTCATGTCTTAGACCTTTAAATCCTATTGATGATGATACATTTGTTTTGATGGATTGTCTTATGTTTTGTGTTCAAGCCTGTATGTGTTCTGTGTTTCACTTGGCTGTGAGGGATGATAAAGCTGAACTTAAGTGATGCAGTGTTTCACCTCGGTGATGGAGGTGGACATGTTGTCTCAACAACTTGGGTCTTCTTTGCGTCCAAATTCTGAAACTCAGCAATCAGAGCCTCCAAATCCTCCTGGAGAAATAAGGACGGATGGAAGGTGAGAAGAACAAAACCAGAAGAAAGTAAATGGCTTTTTAAAAATGAGCTAATGCTTTGGGTCCTGGTACTACTGCAGACAGTTGTGTTACCTTGCACTAACTCTTTACTGAAGTTCATTTTTAATACACTTGTTATAAACCATTCAGTTAAGCTATACATTATTTCCACAACACATTAAGAGTCATTTGTGTGATATGGAAAGTACAAATATATAATCATATAACTGTTAGTTTGGGTGTTAACGGTACCTCTTCTCGTTTGGACCTCTTTGAAACCTTTTTCTCCATTTTGGCGGCAGTCTTCTCCGCTCCCTTCACCTTCTTTTCTTTCTTGCCCTTTTTGCCCATCACTGCTGTGATACACTGACAGACGGCGGTAGTCCGGAGGTTTTATCTGCAGTTTTAAATGAAGTTGGTGTCACATGGAAATCTAAACAAACACACATGCAGAATCTCGAGTCCTTTCCTCTGACAAGTGGGATTTACTTCCGGCAACAAACTGGACGTATATAGCAGCGCCCTCTGGCGTGTGGGAGGATATAGCATTCAGGTTTTTGTTGTTTGTTGTTTGTTTGTTTTGTTTTGTTTTGTGTTTTGCCATCTAATAGGCTCTGCTGAAAATTGGTAATCCTAGGCTAAATGTAATACATGTAGGCTATATAGGTCTATAAAATGGATCTGATGTATTGGTTTCTAGACGACTGGGTCAGAGTATCTCCAGAACTGCAGCTCTTGTGGGGGGTTCCCGGTCTGCAGGTTAGTACCCATCAAAAGTGCTCCAAGGAAGGAAGAGAACCGGAGCCAGGGTCATGGGGGGCCAAGGCTCATTGATGCACGTGGGGAGTGAAGGCTGGCCCGTGTGGTCCGATCCAACAGACGAGCTGAAACAGTTAATGCTGGTTCTGATAGAAAGGTGTCAGAACACACAGTGCATCAGTTTGTTGGTATAGAGCTGCAGAACATACTGACCACCAGGGTGCACAGGTAGTCATAATGTTATGGCTGATCAGTGTATTTCAAAGCTTTACTAATGTGCCACAATAATGTAAAGTTTTTTAGCTCAAATATCTTCATTTGATTGTTTTTGATAAAATCAACATATATTTCTGGCACTCCTTAAAGTCTCCATGCCACCCTCTTGCAACCCCATGAATATTTCTCTAGATCCACCCCTATGTATATGAATATATCTTTATCTGTAAAAAGCAGCTGGTTGAACCCAGAAAGAGCCTTCGTGTCTTATCTCAAAGACAGTGGTTACTTTCATGGTTGAATATTATATTAGTTGCCAGAAAACCCAGGGCAAAAGCAGGAAATGTTGAAATGTTGGTTGTTTTATTCCCCTGATGTAATATGTACTTCACATATGACATAATATATACACATATTTGCACAAATTCATGTGAGTATGCAGAGAGAGATGAATGCACTAGGGGTCAGGGACAAAAAATAACCGTTTGTCCCTACTGACCTCCCTCTCACTCTCTTTCTTTCTCTCTCTCACACATGCACACACATTCACACACACACACACACACACACACACACACACACACACACAGAGAGAGACACACACATTTCAGTGACCCATTTGAGTCTCAGTATTTCTGTACTGGAATACTACCATGTGCCACGTTTGCTGTATTTGATAGAACATCAATTTGTTTAAGGATATGTACCATGTACGGATTATATCAGTGGAAATATTCAAACTAGTTCTTTACATATGAGATTGAAGAATGAAATTACAAAGTCAGTAATTGTCACACAGACAACCTGATGTTGACCCCCTGATGGTCTGTTTGAATGTTTGAACACACGTGTCCATTTATCTTCAGCATGTGTGGAATGTCACAGAGAGAAACGACAGGTACTAATGAGCAGGACAGTGTCTTAACACCCTAATATGGCATTTGTTTCTCATTAAAAACCCTCTTGACAGGTCTTGCACACACACAGCAGCAGTGGTCCACCTTGTTTACTGAAGTTGCAACTTTAACATTTGTTCATTTTCTGATAAAATGTGATGGTTTGATAAGAAGATACTGACATTTGTGTGAGCTCGTTTTCTCAAAGATCAATTGAACACCATACAGATGCAGCAAATTGGAGCTAAGACCACTTTAAAACATGATGACAGTACACATTATAACCAGAAGAGGGCAGATGTGTGTTTCTTTGGACCGTTCAGAACCTTCAACATACAACTTCAAAGCCAATGTGTTTATCTAGTCTGATAATTAGAAGTTGAAAAATATGTTAGTGACTGACATTCAAAGAGATAACGTGTCCAACTAAAGCAATATATTGAGTAATGATGTCTGCTTTGTTTACAGAGAAATATTGCCCACTGCAGAATTAAATGTGCTTTGATTTAAAGATTGCAATATATTGCTATAAATTGCTTTCACAATATCAGTGAGGATGTCTCATCCATGCCTTCCGCTCTTTTGAATGGAATCGGCTCTCTCTGGTTAAATGCAATGTCTTATCCTTCATCTCCATCACTTGTAATTATTTCATATCTGTTCACAGTGATTAAAAACGAAGGACACAGTGTTTACAACTGACCTGTGAATTCATCAAGGCCAGTTTCTGCTGTGGGTGTCAGCTCTTTCCAGCCATCTGTCAACATATTGTGATATTCATTTTCCTTCCCAGCATCTACAAACACGCACAAAAGCTCATACACACGTTCACACACACACACATCAGCTGACCACACATGCACACAGCACATGACTGCTCTGCCCAGCACTCACTCCTGACTGCTAACCTTTGGTGCTTTTGTGAGGCACCCTGGGTATGAGCTCCTGCGAGTGTGAGAGTGAGAGTGTTTGCATGTGAGTAAGGGAGAGAATGCAAGTGAAGTTTTACTTCCATTTACAGGTGTATTTTATATGATTCTTCCTGATTGTGTTCTTTATGTAGTAAATGACAGAGAGAGAGAGGGAGGAAGCAGCGTGTTCAGAAGTAACGATTAGCAAAGAGCCTTGGGGACCACATCTTCATCTTCTCTACCTCAGGGCAGTCACACATTTTAGTGCTGGTAGAGATCCTGTTAAGCAATTAAATAACATGATGAACTACATGTTCACACAGTATTTATGTTCAAATACGAAACGTGCCCCCACCCCACTGGAGTCATGTGGGGATCTATGAGACAGGCCCATTAGCAATACTGGCTCCCAGACTGTTATTCTTGAGACCAGTCTGCAGACTTACTGAAATAAGATGAATGCATGCCCTATAGACAAAGACGTGGCACACAAGAGCCCTTGAGATATGAGTTATACTGGTGTGATCAGACAGATCAGCAGATAGGGTGAGACATAGAGAACATCATACATCAAGCTTCTAATGGCTGAAAATGCCATGCTTGAAATTACTGTCTGTCCCATATGGTGGTGGATGCAACAGATGCAGGTGTTATAACTAACTACAGCAGGCATGTTATAATTTAAATGCAAGTACATTTTCTGCCCACACCATCAATACAGTTTCAGTGGAATGTCTTTCAGGGCTTGTCCACGTGTGAAGGATGCTTAAATAAAGAAACACTGTGTAAGAGTTTACACTGAACTGTGAAAGAAGAAACATTTCTCTACAATATTATGCACATTTCAAAGAGGACATGTAATGTGAATGGTGTCTTCTTTTGTGAGACATCATGAGACAATTTTTTTTGGGTCATTTATTGCCTTTTAATTGATAGTGACAGCTGAAGACAGACAGGAAAGGGGGGGGAGAGAGGGGATGACACACAGCAAAGGGCCGCAGGTCAGACTCGAACCCTGCCGCTGCAGCAAAAACTCCGTACATGGTCGCCAGCTCTACCAGGTGAGCTAACCGTTAGTAGAAGTTATATGACTTGACTTTATTTCACACAACATTGTTAAAGTTAGTTTGATTTTACCTGGCTTGAGTTAACTTGACCTGACTAGATTTACTTTGACTTGGCTTAAATTGACTTGTCTAGACTTGGCTTGAGTTTGTTTGACTTAACTTTTTTAATTTTTTTATTTTTGCACAGATTTGAATTACATTAAAAATGACAAAAAACCCAGATGGGCTTATTTAAAGCCTCCACCTACAATTTCATAGTTATAAGGAACAGAAAATTGACATACAGAGAATATCATAACTACATAAAGTAATAACAAACTGATAATAGAGAAAAGGTTTTTTGCCAGATGGGAACAGGTATTCCATAATTTGGTACCCCTAAATTTAATGGTAAATTGTCCTCTGCACGTAAAAAATCTTGGGGGATGAAGATCTAAAGATTGTCGCATTGGATAAGAGTGAACCTGAGAATAAAATTGAAAATAAGTTTTAAAGTGCTCTGGAAAGTTTTCATGATCTGAATATACCTTATAAATAAAAACACATATTTGAGAGATATTGATGTCATGAACATTAAGTATCAAGAGTTTTTGAAAAAGAGGTAGAGATGAGACATGTGAGATCGGGTTGCCATCCTAACAAAACGTTTCTGAAGAACCAAAATTCTATGGAGTGAAGTAGGAAAGGTGCTTGCCCAAACTATTTTACAATATGAAAGATATGGATGAATTAAATTGTAATAAAGTGTAAGAAGACAGTTTGTGGTAAGAAGATTACTAATCATAATCAATTATACCGATAGATTTATTTTAATTTTTTTGCTAACCCAGTGTATTTGTGCTTTCCAATTCAAACTCTGATCAGCAAAGATTCCCAGGAATCTTGTTGTTGAGACTTGAGACAACTCAACAGACTGAATTATAACTTTACAAAAAGTATGATTTTTTGCCACAAAATATTATATAGTTAGATTTTTTTATATTCAGAAATAACTTATTTAAACTGAACCATGTAGCATATCTAGTTAAACCAACATTCAAATTTTTTATCACAGAATTGAAATTTGAGTGAGAATAAATAAACATTATTGGAGAAAGCATATTTGAGACATTTGATAAATCATTAATATAAATTAGAAATAATAATGGTCCAAGAATGGATCCCTGTGGGACCCCACAAAGTAGTGTAGCTTTGTTGGAATAGCATCACTTAATACAAACAAACTGTCTTCTATTTGAGACGATCAAATAGAGATCATGAAAACCATATATGCAGTTTTTTCAGTAAAATATGATGGTTAACTGTAACAAAAGCTTTTGAGAAATCGATGAATATACTACAAATAAATTAATTATTTTCTAATGCAGAGGTAACTTTGTCAATCAAATGAAGCAAAGTCATATAAGTGGAGTGATTTTTCCAAAAACCATACTGATGTTTGTAAAAAATTGAATGAGAAAGGATCCTTTTGTATATGATTTTTTTCTAATATTTTTGAAAAACATGGCAAAATAGATATGGGTCTATAATTATTAAAACAACACGGATCATCCACTTTAAATAGAGGTATAACTTTGGCAACTTTTAAATCCTCTGGTACAACGCCTGTTGCCACAGACAGAGAAATAATGTAACCTAGT